GGCACAAATAGTTTCAGGTTCGATACCCAGTCAAAGACACATACCTGGGTTGCAGGTTCGATCCCTGGCCCTGGTGGGGGCTGTGCAGGAGACAACTGATCACTGTGTCTCTAACACTAATGTCTCTCTGTCTCTCTCCCTACCATCCCTCCCTTCCACTCTCTCTTTAAAAAAAAGGAAAATACCCTAGGGTGATCACAGTTCCTTTCCTGGTCAGAGCATCTGCCTGGTTTCCAGACCAGATTCCCAATGGGGGAGCATGCAGAAGGCAGCTAATCAATGATTCTCTCTCATTGATGTTTCCCTCTCTCTCTCTCTCTCTCTCTCTCTCTCTCTCTCTCTCTCTCTCTCTGGATCACCATCATGCTGATTGGATCATCATCATGCTGCAACTCTCTCTCTCTCTCTCTCTCTCTCTCCCCTCCCTTCTTCTCTGAAATCAACGAAAATATATTCTTTAAATCATTTCAGATATCACTAGGAAGAGCAAACCTGTATGTATTGAAAAGTAAAGACATTTTATTCTTCACAAATATGAGGACTAGGAGGCCTTTCTGGTGCTGCTTGTATATCAAGCATTTTGAAGAAGCCCTATGTTTCAACATTCATAAAAAACTCTCACTCTTCATTAACAAGACACAGAATCCTCCTAGAATATATAAAAATGCATATTGGCAGGATTTTTAAAATTATAAAACCATTCATACCACTTGCCCAGAAGATAGACATCATCTGAGCAAGCATCTTTCAGTCATAATCTGTATAGGTAATAAAAGCTTTATATAAAGAACCAATGAAGGGGATTGTGGTTTTAAACAAGAAATGGACAAAAAGAAATGTTCTAGAAGAACTACAAGAGTAATTCTTTAGCCAGCTTCTTCATGAAAACTGGAAAAACAGACACAATGAAGAATATAACTACCACAATATAGACTTCAGGAGACAAAGGAGGAAAGTCACCTGGAAACAAACCAAAAAATTTTTTCTTCACCTTCAACAAAATTAAGACCAAATTGCAAACATGGAAGAACTTAGTTTTCTATGCTATTTTTTCAATGAACAGCCACAGCCATACTTTATGACACTAAAGCATAAATCCCTTGGCTTGTAGTAATGACATTTTTAAGGCCTTTAAAAAGATCAACCAGCCGAAACCGGTTTGGCTCAATGGATAGAGTGTTGGTCTGTGGACTGAAAGGTCCCAGGTTTGATTCCGGTCAAGTGCATGTACATTGGTTGCAGGCACATCCTCAGTAGGGGGTGTGCAAGAGGCAGCTGGTCGGTGTTTCTCTCTCATCGAGGTTTCTAGCTCTCTATCCTTCTCCCTTCCTCTCTGTGAAAAATCAGTAAAATATTTTTTAAAAATAAAAATAAAAAGATCAAAGAACAAAAGGAAATAAGTATAAAATACTTTTTGTCTTCAAGCAGTCAAAATACTTAATAGAAATACAAAAATAGACACATAGCCTGTATTAAAACTCTACAGATAACACCACTTAAGGTTCTGTAACCTCAACACCAAAAAACAGGGACCAAAAAGTATCTTCAAAGCACATCAAGAAAACAATATACTACAGATGAGTCTCTAGATTCAATTGAGGAGTTCCCTGAATTGAAGTCAGCATCTACAGCAGTCATTTCATTAGATCAGAAATTAAACTTGCCAGACTTTTTTTTACAATAACCTCAATAAAATCAGTCACTTTACTAGTAAAACTGAGAGTATCTGTAACAGTACAAAGAGAACAAAGTAGAAGACACATAAAAAACTGTAAATTGTCATTGGATCATCATCATGCTGCAAAGAATTTAAACTGAAGACAGGATTGCAAAGGATCAGCTTCATAAAGATGAGCAATTCATTAAAACAATGTTACAAAAGCACTTTCAAAAGGTACTTGGATCAACACCGCAGTCCAAAAATCCCACCAAGCCTACTCCAAAGAAAGTCTGCAAAACAGGGTAAATCTTTTTTAACCTGTTTCTAACCTACTTCAGACCCCAACTTTTAGAGCATATAAGATAAATCATTATGTAGCTGGAAAGGCTCAAACTTAAATATATATATTTAAGGCCTTTAAATATATATATATATATAGGTTATATTCTCATCTAAAAAGGTGATTAAATTCTTTACAGCCCTTAAAATTTTATTTATTGTGATAACACCAAAAGGCTTATCACAAACTATATAAACTTTCAATTTCCCAAAGTCAGGGGTGATGGTTTGAAAGTGGGTGCGGATGGGAGGAGTAAAAGATACATCATTTAAAGCAGATCAATTAACAAGAGCAGCTAGAACACCAGCCCCTGGCCAGGCCAGAGTTCCATGCAACAGAAATTGAATTCCTGAGGCTGGGGTAAACTTCCCTCCTTTTCCCTTCCTTTTTTATGAAAATTGTATTTCTCAATGGACACTGGGTACTAAGTTTAGAAAACAATTTTTTTTAATGTTAGTTTCTTCTTACAATTTCTCATATAAACTCACAATATCTTTACATGAAATGCTGTTTATCTCCACTTTTTTTATTGATTTTTTTACACAGAGGAAGGGAGAGAGAGTCAGAAACGTCGATGAGAGAGAAACATCGACCAGCCACCTCCTGCACACCCCCCACCGGGGATGTGCCCGCAACCAACGTACATGCCCCTGACCGGAATCGAACCCGGGACCCTTCAGTCCGCAGACCAACGCTCTACCACTGAGCCAAACTGGCTTCGGCTGTTTATCTCCATTTTGATAAATTTAAAAGAAATCTTCAATTAGTAAATATTCACTTAAATATATTGTATTCACAAGTTTAACACCAAAAACTATATTATGAGCAACTGAAGTTATACATAAATAATGGACTTTACTAATTTTTTAAAATGTTTTTATTGATTTTTAGAGAGAAGTGAGAATAGAGAGATAAAAGTATTGATGAGAGAAACATCAATTGGCTGCCTTCTACACATCCTTTACTGGGGATCCAGCCCAGAATATGGGCATGTATACTGGACTGGGAATTGAACCCTGACCTCCTGGTTCACAGGTTGATGAACCACACTGGCCAGATTTTGTCAATTTTGTAAAGTGTCTGAGCAGCCAAAACCGGTTTGGCTCAATGGATAGAGCGTCGGCTTGGGGACTGAAGAGTCCGGGTTCGATTCTGGTCAAGGGCATGTACGTTGGCTACGGGCGCATCCCTGGTGGGGAATGTGCAGGAGGCGGCTGGTCGATGTTTCTCTCTCATCGATATTTCTGGCTCTCTATCTCTCTTCCTTTCTCTCTGTAGAAAATCAATAAAATATTTTAAATAAATAAATTAAATTAAAATTAAAATAAATAAAAATAAATAAAGTGTCTGAGCAAAGTGTACTCTTCTGGGGCCACATCAGAACATTAGAGCAAGCAAACTGACTTAACTCTTCTAAGGCTGTTTCCTCATCTGGGAAGAAAGAAGGCATAATACAACTATCATGAAGATTAAATGAAATAACATGTGCACAGTACCTTGTATAGTACCAGAGATCATTCTTGCCATTAACTTTTATTGTTAATGTTAATTAATTGAGCTTTTGATAGCATTTTGAGATTTGTAGTGGGTGGCAAAAATAAGTATTGCATGTGTTTCTACTTTATTTCTCCAAATTTATAAGATTTATTCTTCCAGGGAGGAAAAAAATTTAGGATAACTTCACCTCAAAATTTCCGAAAGGTCACCAACAAAACTTTCACAAGAATTACTTAGAAACCCCTCAAGAACAATCTGACTGGCACAGAAAAAAATCCCTTTTAATAAGTCATCACCTTCAACATGTACAGGTCCTGACCCGTCCCAGATGGTGAGAGGGCGAGTAGCATATCATACATATTCAGACAACTGCAGATCAGAGCTTTAAAGAGTAGCCACCTGACAAAATGCATAAATGACTAACAACCATCCCACGTCAGTGTCACCACTGAGACTACCATACCATCAGAGGTCATGTCTATAGCACACAATGGGCTGCTGTGACATTGCTGTCAAGTTTTCCAAACCAGTATGTCAGATTCACAGGTCTCATAAAAATAGCAAAGTAGTACTTGATTATCACAATATTTATTTAAAATGGCTACTCATTGCCCTCGCTGGTATGGTTCAGTTGGTTGAGCTCATCCCATGTACCAAATGGTCACTGGTTCATTAGATAGATGCTCAGGTAAACAATAATCTACTACGTGGGGTAATCTAAGTTCCAAATCACTTTCTTCCCTCTTTCTGCTTGAGGTCCATTCAGATAGCATTCCATATCGTACGAGTCTTCCTATATAAAACAGGTTCTTAAACAGAAATGCTTTAACAAAAAAAAAAAAAAAAAAACACAACTGATTGGTTCTATACTGTTTAAGCTTCTCCATTTTCTTTCACCTATTACTGCTTCTTTTCCTGTTTCTGAATCATAAAATCTACCACAGATTTATTACCTTCCTTTAAAAATAGGATTTCTTACAGTAATTAACATTTCCTTCATTCAGAAATGCTAACTATAGAAAATGAAATTCCAAGTTCTCAACACTGAATTTAAAATTCTTATTAGAAAGAGCCTTAGAATTTAAACAAAATGTAAAAAAACTTTCTTAGTCTATGAATATGAATGAAAAGGAGACATTTCTTACTGTATGGCTAATTCATATTAATGGGGAGAGAGGGGAGACAACCGAGTCAGAAAGCTTTGCTCTAAATAGTGATCTGACGAAGACATTAAAGAGTATTTAATTTAAAATATTTTTAATCAATAGTTATATAGGATTCCCTCACTATAAATCTCTATAACAGTGAAAGCATATCAAGCACTAGAGCTCTGTTCCAGATATTAGTGTTACCTAAGGCAGCATTAACAATTACATATGAAAAAGAAGTGGCAATAAAAAGTCAGACATCCTGAAGTCAGTGACTTCCTCTCAATAACCAACCAACATTTCAACAGCAAAACCAGAATGCACTGAAATTACTGCAGCGCAAGAGTTAACCAACCTCCCTGGTCCCGCGCAATGAGCTCACGGAAGTCAGGATGTGAACAGGCTGTATCCTTCGCTGCTTCCATTCTTGGTTTAGGATTTCTGTTCTTTCCAAAATTTTCTGACGATTAGAACTAAACATACTCTTTAAAAAAATAAAAGGAGAAAAAAAAATTATGCATTGTTAGAACATTTGTGACATCTCTATTATGGGTTAAAATCTAGTGATTTCTCAAAAATATCAGAAACATTTCCTCTAATGCGCATAGATTTTGCAATAAACTCTGGTTTCCCAAATTTAAATAATACAAAAACACCATACCTATTATTTTATTATGTAATTTAAATTTTTATGAATGGGAGGGGAACAGGAAATTATTTCCATCCTTTGTTACATAAAACCACAAAATCCTGTATATTTGGGTCCCAAGACTACAGGTGCAATGGAAAGGTATTAAAAAAAAAAAAAAAAAAAAAAAAAAAAAAGAGCCGAAACCTGTTTGGCCAGTGGATAGAGCATCGGCCTGTGGACTGAAAAGTCCCAGGTTCAAGGGCACGTACCTTGGTTGCGGGCACATCCCCAGTAGGGGGTGTGCAAGAGGCAGCTGGTCGATGTTTCTCTCTCATCAACGTTTCTAACTCTCTATCCCGCTCAATTCCTCTCTGTGTAAAATCAATAAAATATATTTATAAAAAAATTTTTTTAAAAGATAGTGAATTTCAAGTAGGCTAAGAATCTTTCCATTACCACTACTATGTGTGGTACAAATTTATGTTAAGACAGATCGAGGACTTGAACTTCAAGTCTTCATTTATCTAATGTAAATATAGCCTTAGCTGAAAATGAACCCTTTCAAATTAAAACTTATCTTTAGGGAGAAAAAACGCTAACTTCAATTATACATGCATTTTCATAAAAGACAAAGAAAGGGATACCTTCACTTCATCGGCTCGCCTGAACCTCTTGAGCTGTCGCAGTCGCATGTACTCTGATTTCACGCGCTTCCTCCAACAAACTGGTCCCTTCTCAGACTTCTTCCCAGTCTGGCCCATGGTTATTCTAAAAGCAATGGTTTCATATTAAAATCACTAATCTAAACACAGCCTGAACACAATCACTTGTGTTTAAATCCCCAGCAAACTAACAGTAAGCAAAAGAAGTAATACATAATTACACTGCTGACATTTGCAGAAGTGTGCTCATTTGATCTGTATGGTTAAATCCTTAAAACATTTCAAAGTACTAAGGTTTTACTTAATAAAACTTTTAAAAGATATTTTTATTTATAAACTCCTAGAGAGCTGCCATCTCATAGAAATGTGATCCCTTATCAAGAACTAAGTATACTATATACCGAGCTAGTTTTTATTTGTTTTTAAGTATTTTTATTTATTTTAGAGAGTCAAGAGGGAGAGAGAGATAGAAACATCAATGAGAAAGAAAGATTCATTGATAGGCTGCCTCCTGCAACCCCCCACTGGGATTCAAGCCAGCAACCTAGGCATGTGCCCTGTTTGGGAATCAAACCATGATCTCCTGGTTCATAGACTGATGCTCAACCACTGAATTACACCGGCGAAGCCAAACTAGTTTTTAATCTACAAGATCCACACAGTAGAGAGAAAAAAGAAGAATGTACCCTGAGTTTTCATCAGTACACTACTAGCAAATTTGAATATAATTGAACATAACAAATTTGAAAAAGTAAAATTTACATACATTAAAAGTAAAAACAGTACAATACACAATAAATGTACAAATTAAAATATTCCCCTACACACTTTTACACCAGGCCCACCTTAAACACTGTGCTAAAGTCTGGATTGTTGCCTCTTGTGCCACCTTTGTTCACATAAGGGGTTTCTCTGCCAGCAAAAGAAAAAAGGAATGTGGCGAATGCAAAGTAAATCCTTCTGCCTTATCTTCAGTTGCAGACTCTCAGAATCAATCATGTTCAATTGTGGGGACAACCTATGGTTCACCAAATGTCTTATTCATATTACAGAGTCCCCACCTTGAGTCTAAATAAGTGTCCTCTTCTGGAACATTTTCTTCTCAAACTATTAAAACCATACCTGTATCTTCAAAAGATTAGAACAATTTCTGTCAGATGGTGCAAAGGTGCCATGTTAAGGAGTTTTGCTTTAATTTCTCTAAGAGCGGTGGAAAGCCATTTAGTGTTTTAAGTAAAAAAGAAGAGAAGGTTTCCAACTTGAAAAGACCAGCTGACTTCAGAGCAGAAGCAGGAGGTGAAGTAGGGAGAACAGAGCGCAAAGTGAGGCCACGTTTCAAACAAGAGCAGCTCTAATAGCACACTGGTGATAGGAGAGAAAAGGAAATCAAGTTACTCACAAGAAAACCTGGCGATGATTAAATGTGGGGGAAGCCGAAGCCGGTTTGGCTCAGTGGTAGAGCATCGGCCTGCAGACTGAAAGGTCCCAGGTTCGATTCCGGTCAAGGGAATGTACCGTGGTTGCGGGCACATCCCCAGTAGCGGGTGTGCAAGAGGCAGCTGGCCAATGTTTCTCTCTCATCGACGTTTCTAGCTCTCTATCTCTCTCCCTTCCTCTCTGTAAATCAATAAAATAAAAAAATATATATTTAAAAAAATAATAAAATAAATAAATGTGGGGGAAGACAACTTTCTGGCTTGAATAATTGAGTAAGGTTTCATTTACCTACTTGTTTACATAAAACCTTCTGGCACAAATAAAATTGTCTAAGACAAGATTTAAAAGAAAGAGCCCAGAGGTAATAAGAGGTAACTCTTGGTAAGAATATTTAACCACCAAACAATAACAAAGAATGCAAATTATTTAGAGCTGAGAGGGAGGCAAAGAAAAGCATGTAATAAATGATGATTATGATCCAGGCAATAAATGTGAATATACAAAAATGAATGAAATACAGAACTTGCTCTTTTGGAGCTAATATCCTACCTAGGAAGGCCAAAAAAAGAAAATGTATTACAATATAAGATATGGACATGGGAGGATGGTGGTAAAGTGGGGGTGGGAATGGGGTGGATGGACTGGACTGCAGAGAGATGGCAGAAAAGGTGACAACACAGCCCTAAAAATTGAGATGGATTTCACAGTCCAAAAAAGAATGAAAGGAACTGCAAGGTATGAGCAGACACACTGGAGATGGGGCTGTATAGGGAGAGCCCTGGATGGCAAACCCAGCTAACAAAGGTTGACACCAAATTTGGTAAAGACTCCAAATTACAAGGGCTGGAAAAAATGAGAAGAATGAAGAGATTTCAAAATTTGAGATAAAAACAGTTGAATGAGGTCACAGAGTTAGGTGTATTCCTTATGAAAAGGTTAACAAAGAAGACTTCCCGGTGGATTACTAAAGTGGAACAATGAGAGCAGTCCTTAGAACAGAGAAGACTGAACTCACTAGATGAGTTCAGAAGTCAGGAGGAAAGAAGAAAGCTAGGAAGATGGTAAAGTACAGCAAAAAAGACATCAAAGTTAAGAATAATTGGAGCCTCATTTTACACAGACAACAGGGGGGTGAGGGCATGAGTGGGGTGGGGGTGGAAGAGCAATGGGGCAATAAGGACACATATCAATATTGATTAATACCTTAATAAAGAAAAGAAAGAAAAGCTGAGACCGGTTTGGCTCAATGGATAGAGCATCGGCTTGGGGACTGAAGGGTCCCGGGTTTGATTCCAGTCAAGGGCATGTACCTTGGTTGCGGGCATATCCCCAGTAGGGGGTGTGCAAGAGGCAGCTGATAGATGACTCTCTCTCATTGATGTTTCTAACTATCTCTCCCCCTTCCTCTCTGTATAAAAATCAATAAAATATATTTAATTAAAAAAAAAGAATGTGGTTGGCCAAAATCAGTTTGGCTCAGTGGATAGAGCGTCGGCCTGCGGACTGAAAGGTCCCAGGTTCAATTCCGGTCAGGGGCATGTACGTTGGTTGCTGGCATATCCCCAGTAGGGGGTGTGCAAGAGGCAGCTGATCGATGTTTCTCTCTCATCGACGTTTCTAACTCTCTATCCCTCTCAATTCCTCTCTACATAAAATCAATAAAATATTAAAAAAAAAGAATGTGCTTAAATAATATATAAAACAGATTAACTAAACTTGCATCTAGAAATTAAATGCTAATCTATTTTATAAACTCAACATTTTGTTGGGTATGTACTCAATTTACATAGACATTGTTAGAAGAGAAATGGAACAATTATGAACCAAAAGAAATGAAAACTATGAGATACAACTCATTATAATTCAAGGATGAGCCCTGAGACACAAATGATTATTACTTCAGCACTCCACTTGACACAACAGAGTGAAAAGGTAGGTATAAGTCTTATGCCAGATATTCTCCCTTCTAGAAAGTCTTATTTTAAAACCTCAAATAAGCCAACATCTAACACAAATTTAACCTACATTAAACAAAATTTTGAGAGACACTCAATTTAGGTAAATACAAAGAATCTACCCACCATTTCAGCCAATTAGTATATGTGTATGCCTAAGTGAGCATGAGCTAGGTAACAGTAATCTGATGTTTCCATAATCTGCTCTGCGTGTCTTTCACTGTACTTAGCAACTCGAAACTATTCTAGTGCTAAAAGATAAGTATTTTTCATATAGCAATGGCCTCTGAGTTCAAACCGACAACTGAGCTCAACAGAACAGTGATCTGTTCTCATACTGATAGAGTAGGCAGACATGAACAGAGCAGGAGCGATAGGCCAGATACAGAATGTTATCAGGGCCTAAAGTCCCCAGGTGCCTACCAATGGGCAAAACTAGAAAAACAACAATTATAGGCTAGGATCTTACCCCTAGGGTGCCGTGTTCCCCCACCACCACCACCACCACGTAGGTGAAGGGGTTGCAAGCAGTTGGTTTAGGGCAAGCATGTCAAAGCATGAGGCTCACAACAAAGATTTTTGTGCACTAGCCAATATAATGGTAAGAAACATTTTAATAAAAATTTTGCAACTTAATTTTTTATAATATACTATTATACATAATTGTTAGTAACAAACTACAATGTTCACTAATGACTGATTATTATAATCGTGTTGCATTCATTTCCCTTACTCAACTTATGTGCAAGCACACCATTTCTCTCCACTAATACTAGCAGCGAATATTTTAGCAGCTGATTGCCATGTCATTATTAGACTGACTTGTTTGGTATGAACAGGAAATATTTTGCTTTCAGAGAACAAGAAAAATAGGTTTATTTGCATTACACTTATTAATTTGTGCAGTTATTCAGTGTCTGGTAAGTTAATTTTTATTAGTGTTCTATTATTTTGTTGATGATAACTAATTTATTTCAGCCCTTTGTATTCAGCATGCCTCTATCGAAATAAACCTAAGGACCAAAACCAGTTTGGCTCAGTGGATAGAGCCTCTTGCATAACCGGGACCCTTCAGTCCGCAGGCTGATGCTTTATCAACTGAGTAAAACTGGTTTCTGCTATCTGGTAGTTTTGGTACTGGAGAGTTAGTGGATGTCACAGGGAGGTAAGCGTGCTTCCATTTCTTTCATCTGTGGACATCTCATTGAGAGCCCTCAGAAACTTCTCTGGCTCATCTCAGCCCTGAAGTTCATTTTCTTGCTAAGAACAGTAATCATTTAGAACAAGGTGGAAATAAAGGTGCTAGGAGCAGCATGAACCATAGGCCTTTTCTTTTTTTCTTTTTTTAAATATATATATATATATATATATATATATATATATATATATATTTTTTTTTTTTTTTTTTTTTTTTTTTTTTTACAGAGAGGTATATAGAGAGCTAGAAACATTGATGAAAGAGAAACATCGACCAGCCGCCTCCTACACACCCCGCACTGGGGATGTGTCCGAAACCAATGTACATGCCTTTCACCGGAATCAAACCTGGGACTCCCAGTGCGCAGGCTGTCCCTCTATTCACTGAGCCAAACCGGTTTTGGCAACCATAGGCCTTTTCATTATTTCTCTTTACTTAGCATTTATCACCAATGTACTGCTGAGGTACTATAAAACTTCAAACCCTTCTATATTTACAATCAATGATAT